TCTTTTGTTTGAAATTCATGGGACTGCTTCAATCCCGAACATAGTTAGTTATGCATTCAATTCTCAAGTGCGCAGTAATCTAAAGCAGTCAAGAGTGCTGACTGCATTACTAAAACGGACTTAACTACAAGAAGCGTAATTTCTAGGTACTCATTCAAAGGATCCGGCAAGAAAACTGAATCACTGTGAGTAAAAACACCAAGCCAGCAAGCCACCTCTCTAATTGTGAGACAAGCACCAAGCCAAAAAAAGACACCTCTCTCTGGAATGTGTAGGCAACACAGTCTCTCCGTGAGGAGAACTCAATACGTAACCATTACGTAGCATTACACGAAAAAGTACCGGAGATTTACGACCTTTTACTTTCAGTATAATAATTTACCACCAAGTACACTATATCAAGAGATCCGGAGATTTACGACCTCCTACTTCCATATGTAGTGCATGCTAACGCCACGTGGCAACTATCACCTAACTGCAAGATCCCACCAATTCTCAACTTAGAATCATTATTATTGTGAAGTTTGTAAAAAATGTATGTAATTATTGAATAAATGCACTATCCCTTCCAGTTGCCCGCATTTCTTTCCCCCACTAGGTCAACTGGTGGTCATAGTCTAATCCAAACCTCTTGCTCCTTTAACCACGAGATAATGGAATCCTTTTACACATTTTAAACATTGTTAAAATTGTAAATCAGATTTATATATTGAAAAATATTAATAATATTTTAATACGAAGTAATACCCAGTTTGTAAATCAGATAATACGTATAAATTATATAATTTATAGAAATTGAAATAAACTAGATAATAAACTAGATAATAATTTTAATTATTTCATATATTATTTTAAATATACTATAATTTTTATTGTTATTACTCGTTTTAATTTTTACGAGTAAGTTTATATATAGTAAAATATTAAACATAAAATAGTTTTTATTATTATTTATCATGTTGCGAAAGTAATCTTTTTTAGTATGGAAATTAATCATTTATCTACTTGAATTTTATATTAATTTTTTATTATTTGATAATAATATAACAAATAATATTTATATGGAATTATGTTTAAACAATATGGTATAGTTCTGATTATGAACGTCTCTAATCAACTAAGTTAATTATCCTCTTTATTTTATTATATTTATCTATTTTTTATTAAATATTGATGTAAAAATATTACCGATCTCTTTAATAATTTAATTTTTGGAAAATGAACTAAAATATTTAATACTTTCAAAGCGTAAAATTGTACTTATTAATAGCCAATTGTTTAATAATTTTATATTACCTAGCTTGCAAATAAAATTTATTATACTTCAGTTAATTACAGCCACCATAGACATAGATTTTGATATATATGCATGCACGCTCATAATATTTCTGTAAACATGGTCAATAAGATTAAAAACAATATATTTTACAAAAGATCATTTTTTCAATTACTTATCTATTATTCATGAATTATCTTTATTTTAACATATTTTTTTTAAATTAATTTCAATTTATAAATGCAATAATCGTTTTCCAGAAAATCATATGGAAGAGCTTTGGTGCTTGATGGCATTATTCAATGCACTGAACGAGATGAATTTTGTTATCAAGAAATGATTTCATTTTTACCTCTATGTTCTCATCCAAATCCAAAATCAGTAAGTTATTAACATTGTGTATCTATTAATTTATTGATATAAAATTATTATTTTTGTTAATTTTTATTTGAAATTTAACGATTATTAGTGAATATTACAGACGAAATAACAGTCATTATTTTATACAGTTGATTAAATAAATTATAATATGCAAATTAAGTCCAGTACTTATGTGGATTGCTAAGATTTTGTATCAATCATTAATTAAACTTGCCACTTATTCATTTATTAATCTATTTAATATCAAATAACATCTATAAATATTTATTATCTAAATAATGAATAACGATTAAGAGCAATTTTTTAATTTAAGTGAATTTCATTTAAATGTAAAGTATACAATAATGAAAGTATACATGTTCGAAAGTGGTATTATTTCCTGGCTCGAACTGACAATATTTCGATAGCTTTAATAATTTGCCGCCCGTCCTAGTAGATGCTTAGATTGGGAGTCAAGTGGAAAGATTGTAGAAATGTGTTAAATGTTCAAACTTCATTAACATATAGTTTATTAACAGTTATATTAACAATAAGCAGTATTTACTGTTAATAGGTATGCACATACCTTGAAACTATGCTTGTTATAGTCGTATAGTTTCTCGTAATGCAGCCAGCACCCTTGGCTGCTTGTAAGTTGTAGCACACTTGATAATTAAAATCATGTATTCCTTGGGATGCCTTCATTGTACGAGTATAACTGAACGACTGGTGTGTGACAGAAAGCACTGGCTGAATATCGTAATGACTGATAATTCTTTGACCGACTAAATTATGATGAACGTCTAGGCATAGTGTACTGCCCTTAAATATCCGCGTGGCAACTTACTTAGCTGGCAACAAAGAATTGATGTTGCTATGCTGGATTCTTACATGAGGCGCAGAAAGGAATGTCTAGAAGGTTCGAGAATTCTAAGAAAAAAGAAGGCTTAAGAAATTTGGAGAATTCCAAGCGACGTTATAATGCGAGGACCATATACAACATTGTAAGACTTTGGAATCAAAACATAACAAGTACACGAAAATTCTCGTCCCAATTGCTTACAGAAACTTGAGAGCTAGAGAAACTAGCGATTAATCGAGAGTCAACGGTCTTGGAAATTGCTTTAATCCAGAACAATATACTTGTTTAGGATTGGAACACCTAACATCAAAACACTAATTCCACAAAATTGTAAGCGTTATAACTCATAATGTCACAATATTTCACTACGAAAATTCTCGGTAAAAATTAACGCCTTTGCCTAAGAAAATCCTGCAATGTATCGGCTAGCAACTACGGAGAAGTCTCCAACCGGCAAAGGCTTGCCTTCCGACAAATTGATAGAGATTTATGGAACTGAAAATCTAACGGCACGCGAAAATTTTCAACATAACACACTAAGGTATTACTGCTAGACTCAATGACAAGCGCTCGCATATATTAAGGGCTTCTCGCGTCGAAGTAAATCAGTCTTGTTGAGTGAGTCTAGAAGAAATAATGCAAGTCACATCTGAGCGAAGCTCTACGCTTTCCACACGTTCGTCAACGGGGATCTGTGCAAGGTACACTACTTATTATTAATTATCATTTTATTGCTACCCAGCGCAATTCGCTCGCAGTAAGCCTTTAGTGACATTGATACTCATTCATACCGCTACGGGGCATCGCCATTTGCCATGAGCCTCGAATGTGGATTATTATCATTTACCTACCTGACGCAATCGCTCACAATCCACCTACTGCGAGATTGGTACATTTATACCGCTAAGGAGCTCCGCCACTGGCCACGCGTCTCCAGCAAACTTACTTTTCATCGCTACTGATAAGGGGCGCTGCTACTTGTGACACGTCTCCAGAGAGACAAATTTCCGTAATACTGCTACAGGGTCTACTACTTGCCCCACGCCCTCAGTAAGACCAGTCTTCCCTTGCACACTCGGACGACGTCCTACAGTTTCTATACCAACTGGCAGGACCACTGGACGACCTCAACAATACTCATTACTACATAATTTATATAACTATTACTATAACTCATTACTATATAATTTGTATAATTGTAACTGAACCTAAAATAAATGTCACTAAACCCAATTGTGCTTATACTGAATTAATCCATTAACCTCTCGCTCATCCCCACTTTTCCATCAATAAAACGGTGGCATAGTCTAATCTAATCACCTCCGTCTCTCAAACCGCCGGGTGTCTGGAATTCCGAACAATACTAAAGAAATTTGATTTGGGTTTTGTAGACAACTTAAAATTTATCTTTTCTAATATTTATTAATTAACGATAGATATAAAGTGAAGAGAGAGAGAGAGAGACAATTTTTGAAATAATTAGAATTATATAACAATATAGTAATGAATACAATTGACTGCGGATAATATAACTCTAAGAAAATACATAAAAAATTCGGGTTTTTTTTGAAACTTTTATTTTAATGAAATGAAGCCAATATATTATATATTAACTAAAATCATAGCGCGTGATTTAAATGTTATGGCAATTCTTATTTGATAAGTGGATGATTGATCAAGTTTTCAAATGGCAACCAATATAATGGAAGTTCATAAAGAAATAAAGGATTAACTGCTTTATAGAAAAATCTATTCAAAATGAGCAATATGGATAGAATCTATGTGCTCTCTAGTTGGCGAGTCACATCTGTGTTTGTAAATTCGTGTTTTTATTTTTCATATTTATAAAATTTCTGAATAAATAATAAAGAAATGAAACGTGAATATTCCCAACGGTAGCACGTTTAATACATTCTTAAGTGAATATTTATTAAACACGAATTTAAATCTATTTTGTTATGATTATAAAGTTTTAAAATTTAAATAATTATGTAATCAATTATGTATTAAATATAAATATGAATGTACACATTGGTATATATATACTTATAATAAAATTATTTTATATTAATTTTAATATTTTATGATAATTATGTGTATTTATAAATTTATTTCTGTTAGCCAAGTAATTGTTTGATGATGCCATTATCAAATCTTATACAATATTTTTACAGAAATATTTTTATTTAATGGAATGATTATAATATATCAAATTAAAAAAATATATATGGTTTCTTTAAAATATATTATTTTTCAATAATGCCATCAAATTTTTCATATTCTATATGTTATATTAACCACTATTATATGTTTTTCGAGTAAAATAATTTTAGTGTTAAATAAAAAATAATTTTAAATACATTTTAAAATTCATTTAAAATGTATTTGATCAATAATATAATGTAATGTTTATAGGCTAATTATCAAGTTGATAGAAATATCATAAATGCTATTCAAGAATCAGGTTTGTTACCTTTCAGAATCATTGTAATATTTGTGTGGAATGAATATTTTGTCCTTATCGATTCATTCCATTATTTTATTTAATGTGAATTGTTGTTTGTGTGAATATTTGTTTTGAAAAATAAAGCTGTTTGTCGAAGTATAAAATTATTTTCTGCATAAAGAGTGTAATTACAAATTCATATATTTGATTCTAAAATTTTTTTAATAATTTCTATAAATAAATTAATAAATTTCTAAAAATTTTATATTTTTAATTTATAAACATTTAAAAATTAAAATGTAATAATGTTATAAATATCAATATAGTATTATCAATTTTAATTTATAAATATTTTATAATCTTATTACAAATACATGTACATGTAATACGCTAAGATACTTTAAGTTTAAATATAAATATAAAATTCACATCATAACACGAAAATGAAAAATATTATTATAAATTTATATATCTTTTATAAGACAGCTGAATTGATTTCAAATTCGATGGTTATTTATATAATCATCTCTTTTCATTGCTTTCTTTTGCTTTAGTGACTTTTTTCTTATATCTGTTTTAAGAAAATAGGTACATGGTAGGCTCTTACTTAGCTTAAGATAATTTACATACATAAGTTATTAATACTTAAGTAAAAAATATCGAAAATATAGATTCAAATTTTAAGAAATCAATCATTTGATTATTATCAGTGACTTTGAAATATTTATAAATAGTATATGTATTATTAACCAATATATTTTGCGTAATTCTTGAAAAAAGTTATTAAAATAAAGATATCATTCTATGTAAGACTTTATATAGTATAATTAGATTATATTTTAATTATTTGTGTAAATTGAAAATTACTTATAAAAATTATGTTTATATTTCTTCACTGAATATGAAATTATGATATATAATATTATGAAGTTTGATAGCTACGGAGATATATGCGATTTGAGAATTTTCTTTGATCTAAATGTTCTTAATAGATTACTAACATTTTTAAAGCAAAACCAGTGTTCACGAAAAAAAATATATTTTTTCAATTTTATTTATCATTATTAGCATCATAGTAATACTTTTATCACATTATTTTACAATAAATGAAATTGTGATTGTGACATATACATTTTGACTCGTAAAATTTTTTTATTAAACTATTTGTTCGGAAAATAATCCCACAATTTGACTCGTAGCCAAACGTGCAATAATTAACTTAGAACAAAAAACCCACTAGATGTTGTGTGGGGTTGCCGGGGAAGTAAAGGGTGAATGCACTGATTAATAATTAACACATGTCTTTATTATTTCTGTTTATTTGAATTAATTTACAAAAGGGTGAATTACAGACGAACTTTATATTTCTTGATAATCTTGTGGTGTTGAAATATATTCACTATGAATGAAGTAGGTTATAATCTATTGAATATTATCACTAAGAGGTTATCGTGATTGTAGTGCTCTGATCGAACACTGGAATGCTATTGTGTTTATCTTAACACGTGTGTAGTTGCCTCTAAATATCGGTCGTAAGAGAGCCGAAATGGAGGTTATGCGAAGGTTAGGCTGTGCGCCATCTGTGGCGGGAACAACTTGTAGTTGGAGGGATTGAGAAGCCAATGTGGCTTTT